AATTTACCCTTTATTAATAAAATGGACGATTTATTATGAAATTAGAAACCTTAGGGGGTCGAATGTAATTTTTAAAATTACAAAAAACGATTCATATTTTAATCAAATATCGAGAGTGTATTTATAATTTACCCTTTATTTTAAATAGTAGCGGCCCAAGATATTTTTAGACCTCATGCTAAATAATTGAATGAGGCCTTATCTTACTAGACCCTCAAAAAATTGAGACTTTTGGTGATAAGGATTTTTTAGGTGGACCTTAAGTGATTAGTTAAGTGACCTAATGATTGAGTCATCTCTGATTTTAAAGTCCTAAGAAATACAAGAAAATTGTTTAGTAAACTGTTTTTAGAAATTATTTTTTAATTTGTTTAAAACAATTCACTTTTTTAAAAAATACCAAACAAGTGTTTTCAAAATTTGAAAATTGTTTTTGCATAAGATTTAAAATGATTGGTGTTTTAGAATTTTTAAATTTTCTTTTTAAAACATAAAGAAAGAAAAAATAAAATAAAATAACAACACATGCCATCACTAACAAAAAAAATAGTCTCTTCAAACATGCTGTTATGAATAAAATTATTTGACTTATTCTCAAAAGTCGGATTCACAAAAAAGTGAGACAAAGTTCACGCTTACTTGCCTTTATGTTTGAGGGGAAGAGATCCTCCATCTCAAGTACCATAAAATTATAAAGCTAGGAACCCAATTTGTATTCGAAAAGTTATCCAAAATAACAGTGTGTTTTAAATTCAATCGCGTATAATAGGGTTCACACGGAATGAATTTGAATTACATAATAATTTTTTTGAGTAAATTTGTAGACATGAATTTTGGGTACCTAGTATTGCACTTGTCAAATAGTAAACAAATCATGCGAAAATCTCAATAAATTAGAATCTCTAAACATAATCCTATGACGGGAGTGTATTAAGATAAAATTTGAGAACCAAAAAATATGTGAGGCAAACTTACATGTGACAGAAGTGGTGGAATGTTGAAGCAGTTCCCTTGTAGCCAAGACATCAAAAGCCAAGAGAAGAATAACAATCAAGAAAAAGTTTCCAAAAACAAACAACTTCCTTGAAGCCATATTTGATTTTTAGGATACAGAAAAAGGCTTTTAGGATTTCTCATTTATATAAAAATGAAGTCTACTTTTATGTAGCATTATTGGTGTAGTTTAGTCAATTTATTCATTTATTTATTAAAATTTTAGTTATAAGGTAGGTGTGGTGTGTCTTGGTCCACAAGCTATTCAGTGTCAAAATCTACGGACAAAATCTAACAAGAATCCGTCATTTTTGAATTAAGGTCTCGTTTGAGAATAAATTATTTTAATAATTTTTGATTTTTTAATTAAAATATGAGATAAAAAATTATTAGATTTGAGATGATTTTTTGATTTTTTACGAAAAAATATGTAAAAAAAAAATAGAATGAATTTTTAAAAATAATTTGTTAACTTTTTAGCTGTTTTAATTATTTTTTAACTTTCAAATTAAAAAGTGATGTTCCCAATTGATGAGAGATAAGCTCATGTACAAGCTCTGGTACTAGAAGTACTTATGTGATTGGGAAAGTATGGTTTTTGAATTATTTTAATTTCATTAATTTTGTTGTAAATATTTTTAATTTAAATCAAATTGGCCTTATTCCATACACCCATATTACTAAGGCCCTGTTTGGCAAGTGCAGTTTTGATTTTTTTGGGGCTAAAATATACAAAAAGATAAAATAGGTTAAAATAGCTAATAAGATAAAATGTCACATCAAACTCATAATTTTTTTTTCCCTCACAAATATCACATTCAATTATAAAAAAATCTAACTATCTTCCAAATACAAAAATTTTAATATATTAAAATAACAAAAAACTAAAATAGCATACTAAAGCCTTCGTTTGGTAATGACTTTTTTAATTGGCTTTTTTGACTTTTTTAGCCTATGACTTTTTTGTTTGTTTGGTATTCTTGATTGACTTTTTTGACTTTTTAGCTTTGCAATGGTGGAATTTTTTTTTTTGTCTTTTTGTGATTTTTGGTTTTTTGTATTTTTTGACTTTTTTTTTGTGCTTTTGTGATTTTTTAGCCTAACATGAAAACCAAACAACCCCTAAAATAGTCAACTTCCCAAATAAGACCTTAGTGGAATAATAATAAATTTCACTTATTTTTTATTTTTTATTTTTTTTGTGTCACTTTTGTTCACAATGTATAATTTTATCACTTTACCAAGAGGAAACACTCTTAGGGTACGTTTGTTTGAACGGACTGGATAAGGAGGAATTGTAATTCATCGGACTATTAGTCCTAGGATACATTGTCCCGGGACTATTTGGTTGGACTAAATTTGTATCCTATATTTGTTTAGTCATGGGATTAGATGTCTAGATTGGACTATTTTTAGTTATCCAATGTTTGTTTGGGATATTATGAAGAATGAAAAATGCTCAAATGACTATTTTATCATTTTCAATTATTTACTAAGTAATAGCAATATTAAACATAACTTTAATATTTTAATTATTTTTAGCTAGATTAAATAAAAAATTGTTTTATTTTATTTTTTGCACAATATTTTAATTATTTTAATTTATTATTTTCAATTAAATTAAATTTATAATTTATATTTTTTGTTTAATATATAATTTTAAATTAATAACAATAAAAAATAATTTTATTTAATATATAAATTAAATTTTCAACAACACTAAAAAAATTTAATTTATAAGGCCATAATTTATAATTTATTATTTTTAAATAAATTTATTTTATAATTTATATTTTTTATTTAATATGTAATTTTAGATTAACAACACTAAAAAAATAATTTAATTTAATATGTAAATTTAATTTTTTAACAACACTAAAAAATTTTAATTTATAAGGCCATAATTTTTAATTTATTATTTTCAATTAAATTAAATTTATAATTTATAATTTATATTTTTTATTTAATATATAATTTTAAATTAACAATACTAAAAAAATAATTTATAAATATTCAAAAGACTATTTCATCATTTTCTAATTGTTTGCTAAGTAATAGCATGGAGGGTAAAATGGATATTTTACAAAATAATCTCATGGGATACCAATCGCATGGTTTCTATCTCACCTCTCCCCATGGGATAGGATAGTCTCATATTTGTGGTCTGGAGGAAAAAAAATGAAACAAACAATAGACTATTAGTTCGGTGAGACTAATATAGTCCAATTTCACCCCCTAATCCTTCAAAACAAACACACCCTTAGGCTATGCTTTGTACTCTTCATCATCGTTAAGGACTTAAAAGTGATAAAATTGAAAATTTTGACGATCAAATTGATACAGACGCATAATTTAGTGACTATAGGTATATTTTATTATAATTTTGTTAATAATTTCAATAGTCATTTTAGTCTTTTATTTTTTAATTATAACAATTAAATCCTCAAACTTTGTTATTCTTTTAATATAATTCTTTCTTTCATCACTCATCATTTAAAATAACTGATAGAAAGTGCTCACAGGATGGCCATGTGAAAAGATTTTCATGGCATTAAAGAGAATGCAAAAAAAAAAAAAAGTTATTTAAAAAATTTATATTTAAATTATACATTGGATTTTTAAGGACGATACAATTGAATGTTTTGCAACAATTCAAAAGGAAAAAAAATCTAAACCAAAAGTTATTGCATTTTAACGTTTTGTAATAATTTGAAAGTAGACACGGTTGACGCCAAAATTATTTGATAATCCACAACACCACCTGCCGATACGTCTTACCAATCACCAAACACCATCCTACTTTGCCCAGCAAAATTCGCTCTATAAAGATTTTTAAAGTTGATCAAACCTATCAACCTACTTCGTCAAGCAAAATTCATTTGACAAAGTTTTTGTAAGTTAGTCAAACTTGCCAATCTACTTTGCTGAGCAAAACCCGCTCTACAAAGATTCTCAAAGTTGGTCAAATCTGCCAACCTACTTCGCCAAGCAAAACCTGCTCGGCAAAGATTTTTTAAGTTGGACAAACCTGCCAACCTATTTTGCTTGACAAAGATTTTCAAAATTGGTCAAACCTGCCAATCTACTTCACCAAGCAAAATCCGCTCGATAAAGATTTTTCAAGTTGGTCAAACTGCCAACCTAGCTACTTTGTTCGACAAAGATTTTCAAAATTGGTCAAACCTGCTGTAACGACCACATCATGTATAATGATTAGTACTTGATTAATTACGAGGATTTGAAATTTAATTACCGAGTATTATGATTTAATTTGGGATTTATGAGGATTGTGGAATCTGACTCGTACATGATTCTATTAAAGATTTATTTTGGACTTAGAAATTAAGGGTCTAAATGGCTTAAGGAAATGAAATTAAGAAGTTGAATCAATTTAATCTTAATTATGGACTCATTTGGGAGTTTAATTAAATATTCGTTTCAGTTTAGTAAAATTGAGATTCGATTAATTAGATCCGAATTGGAGAAAATTAAGTTAATTAAATTATGAGGATTGAGAATTGTGACTATTATGGATTAAATTCATTTATGGGAGGTCCAATTTGAATATGTAATTGATTGATGAAGATTTGGTGTCTGATCAAAAATTGAAGGCCTAAATGATTTGGAAAATCAAAATTGAGGATGAAAATAAGTTTAATTTAATATTTGGAAACTTTTAGGAGTTCGATTAAAAATCTGATTCAGATTGATAAATTTAATTATAATTAATTGAGCTTTAATGGAAATCAAATTAGACTGATTAAATTATGTAAGTCTTGTGGTTAGTTATGATTAATTAAATTAGGACTAAGATTAATTAAAATTAGATTGTGTTTAATTAAGCTAATGAGTAATTATGTATTAAGCTAATTCTATTTATGATTCAATTATAGGATTGTCTAGAAAGTGCAAGTGTGTGTACGTGTCCCATTGCCAAGAGGTGCATGTGTGTGTATAACTAATGAGTTAAAAGTGTTTGGGTTGGCATTTGTTGGTTATATGCTGAGAGAACACAGCCGAGAGAGAGAGAGAGAGAGAGAGAGAGAGAGAGAACTTTATCTATATACATGCATTGTGGTCAAATCTGGTGAGAGCAAACCGTGGAGAAAGAAATGAAGAAAAGAAAAGGGGAAGTAGAGGAGAATCAATCAAAACGTTGAAATTAAAGTTTAAGGTATGGATTTATACTTAATTTTTTAGAATCTTTATGTTATACTTGAAATTAAGGATGAAATTAAAATCAATAGTAAGAAGATGAAGAAAAATTAACTTAAGAATAAGATTATGGAAATTACTTTGAAATGGGTTACATGCATGTGGATGGTTATGAAAAATAGATTAGAAATTGATTATTGGGGGTTTGATGTTTTGATTTTACATGAAACTAAGCTTCATTGTTACATGCATGAATAGATTTTACAAGTTTAATGCTCTAATTATACATACATCATGAATTTTGAAGGAATTAAAAATAAAGCTCTGTAGATCAATTAAGAATTGTTAAGATTTGAGTTTGCATGTAAAATCAAGTTAGGATCAAGAGTATGAATTATGATTTCTTAAATTTGTTAACTTGAGTTCAATTTCATGTAAATAGAAGAAGTTAGCAAAATAATGATTAAGTGGAGTTATGTTCAATTTATAGAAAATTAGACATTGATTCGATTTTGATCCCCAACCCATTGAATGTCGATTTTGATCCCCAACCCATGCATGCAATATAATGAAAGAGTTTTATTCAAAATTTAAATTTATGTTATGGAACCTCTATGATTATGAATTAAATTGAGGTTAAAAGAAATTGAGTTAAGTTGAATTTCTAAGAAATTGATTTGTGTAATTCATGGTTAAGTTGATTTTGTTATTAATAATAAAATTGGATCTATTTGTATTACATACATCATGGAATTTCAAGAGGTTGGGAAGTCTAATTTATATCTTAGAATTGTGGGTTGATATTAATAAGATGAATTAAAACTAAATTTGGGCAATTGGAACATGATTTTGGTTGAATGTTTTCTAATTGAGAAGATGAGTTAAAACTAAATTTGGACAATTGGAGTATGATTTTGAATGAATGATTTCTAATTGAATGTATTTACTAAGTTATCCAATGGTTCTCCATTTTTGTGTACCAAAAGTACATGTTTTGAGGCTTTGAATACCAAATTTGAACTTCAATTGCAATTTTGGAATTTTAGAATTTACGTTGTCCGCTCGAGCGAGGAAAGTCTCGCTTGAGCGTGAAAATCGAGCTCCCAGTAGTTTTTCAAATTTTACAGTCCGCTCGAGCGACCAAAGTGGCGCTCGAGCGGAGACCCATTTTCAGCATATTTTGGAAAGTTGTATTTAGTTCACATTTTTATTCTCATCTCTTTCTAAAGCATTCTAGACGTGGTTTATGACTCAATGAAGATTAATAAGCTACCAATCAACATAGATTAGTTAGTTGAAGAATGAATCATTGATCTAGTAGTAATTGTTTAAGAAGCCAAGTAAAAGATCAATCTATTTGGAAAAGAATGGCTTCGTAATGGAAGAATATGTGAAATAAGAACCTAGTTTATTTGAATGAGAAAGAATAAGCATAGTAGAATTTCAGACTGATTAGACGGAAAAAGACTAGGAAAGTCAAGTTTGATCAAGGAAGTAATATTGTATTTCAATGTGTATATGTTATGTGCTTGTGTAGGTCATGCGCTATTGCCTGCCTGATTGTGATCTGTCTAATCTGCTTCTGCAACTATCTGTGAGTAATAACTCTGTAAAGTTATGTTCAATGTTAAATATTTTCTGAACATTATGACATAAAATGATTAGTCTTCTGAAATGCTACGCTATGTTTTGAATGAATGAATGATTGTCCAAGATTCTGAAAGTTATGCGTGGCATCCTTAGCTTTATATGATATGCGTCATTTCATGGGTCATCAGGTCTCTTTATGGGTCATCAAGTCCCTTCATGGGTCATCAGGTCCCTTTATAGGTCATCAGAAACGTCTCTGTGCACATGAGTCATCGGAATGCCTTTAAGGCCGTCCCTTTATGGGTCATCAGATTTGTTAACGCTAATAGATGTACCATGTATGATTATATGCGAAATCTGAATATGAAAATGATTATGAGTATGTATATGAATCTATTTCTGATTTGGAATTTGAATATGCGTAAGACTCTGTTTCTGATAAGAAGTTAATTTCTAACTCTGTGATGGACATCATTCATTAAATCCTTTACTCTGTTATTATTCATTGTGCCCCAACTCATTGTTTATATTTATGTATGTAGGTGATCAGGCCCGTGACCAGGCTTAGAGGCATCTGCCTAGAATCTGTTTTTGTCAGCCAACCTATGTGCCTCCCGTGGAGGTTCCGGATATGTCAAGTGATTGTTGCTAAGTGATTTAAAGTTTAAGTTTTGTTTTCTTGTTTGGTTAAACAAGTCTTGTGTAATTTGTAAATAGGGCTAAGTCCTTTTTTGTCTAATCTGTATATATATGATGAGTTAAAGATAATGTGTATGTATGTATACAAAAAGTATAAAATTTTTCTGTCTCATATAAGTCTGCACAGCTCAATGGACGTCGTATATTGTTATTTGCTTCCGCTAGCCTCTAATATTATGTTAATCTGTCTCAAAGGCCTTCGGTAATCCTAGGATTGCTGGCCGGTTACGATGCTAAGCCTATAGGGGCGGGTTTGGGTCGTGACACCTGCCAATCTACTTCACCAAGCAAAACCCGCTCGATAAAGATTTTTCAAACTGGTCAAACTTGCTAACCTACTTCGCCAAGAAAAAACCCGCTCGACAAAAATTTTCAAAATTGATCAAACCTGCCAATCTACTTCACCAAGCAAAACCCGCTCGATAAAGATTTTTCAAGTTGGTCAATACCTGCCAACTTATCTCTTGCCCAAACGAACTTGGCAAAGAGATAAAATTTGTAACCAAAAGGTAGTGTAATTCATATTGCCCCCATAATCCATAAAGCGCGAACTCCATCTCAGCATATTTGACCCAAATAATAGTCTTCATCTACGTTTGGTATAAAAACTCATATTTTTCAGATAATAAAAATCTGATATAATAATTTGATCTTCCATATATTCGTGGTTGGAATAATAATGCATAAACTCCATACTTCATAGATAATCAAAATTCAGCACAATAAAATATCTTCATCCGTAGAGTAATCCATACTTCATAGATAATCAAAATTCAGCACAATAAAATATCTTCATCCGTAGAGTAATAATGCATAAAATCCATACTCCGCAGATAATAAAAATTCAATATAATATCTAAAATCTATGATCCGTAGCATAATAATTGATAATAATAACTCCATGTCCAGAATGATAATGCATAAAATGCATGCTGATAATTTCATTAAAAACTTCCAAGTTTATTCATGAGAGAAAACAAAGTTGGTGGCATTTGATCTCATCGATGGGTCACTGTGAATAGGCACTGAATGGCGTTTGAGCTATCCATTAGTGCTTTTGAGATGAATTCAACTGCAGGCTAACGATTGTGATTCCGGCTGCTAATGGGCTCACGATATTTCCTAGTCAAGACTTTGTTCTTCGAATTGGGTCACGATTGAGGGGGACCGAGTTAGTTTCTTCAAACAAAGATAAAATCTTCCTTTTACGCCCATAATGGTAGTACTGAAGAAATAAAAAGCAAAGACCATTTGTGGTTTATAGCCCATAAAGTATCACAAAACCATTCAATGCATACCATATATTTTCACGTGAAAGTCTTACAGCCATGGTTAAGTGGTTGATGCTTACTTGGCTTATAGTATACAACTTTGGGTTGTATTGTTGGAAAGGAATCATCCACAAAAAGGTCACACGAACGGGATTAATTTTGTCTTCTTCTATGAATTTCATCGATTCCCACACACGGCGCCAATTGTACGGGTAAAGAAAAATCGCGTACTTGTTAATAAAGAAATCCAATGAAGAAGATGAATAGCACCATCACGCAATCGCTATCTGTAAGACAAAACACCCCAGCCGTAGCCGGGGGCTCTCCGACGCCCAAGTCAATCCTCCAATATTATCAAAATATTTTGTTAGTAATGGGCGCCCATGTGGCATGACCATTTGAACATAATTTGAATCTTATCCAAATAGGTTTTGAATTAAATTCAAACCTATTTAGGATAACCACTCAGGATATAGATATTATCAGTTTTAACTGATATGGATAAATAATAATAATATAATATATATCTGATATATGGTTATGGGTAACCAAGAGAAAAAACAACGTAGGTTTTGTTTCTACCCATAAACTTACTCTCTCCCAAGAAACAATGATTAAGTCATTTGCACTGTGGTTTGTGTGGGTGATATTCACCATTGTAATATCACCCCACTGCTGGGATTGATGGATTAGATTCTGGAAGCACGTGATTTATCCACGAGGTTTTAGATCAAAAGAGGTATGATCTAAACATTTTATTCCGCTGCATATTTTGTGTTTTGATTTACATATTTAATGGACTAATTCATAGAGAGAAATTGCGTACCTCAACCCATAAGGGTGTTGCCTATTTATAATATCCAATGACTTACCTCTCAAGTAATTTGAATGTTCCAGAAGTCCTATCCCAAACAATCTTCAAACAATCTCCGATTGTTCAGGACTTCTATATCAACAAGATTTCATATACTAATAAATTTTGCATAACATAAAACACTAATGTAGTGTTTGATAACTGTCATACACATAATAATTTATAACCATGCCATATGATAATATCTAAACCCACATAATTCTTGTAATTATTTTTATTCCCTTTCAGTCCCCATCGCCAAACACCATCCCTGTTGTTTCCTATGCCTCGATACAAAATTGCGGCTCCCTCCCCTCTACTAAAGTCAACTTGACTACAAGAATTAGTAGAAATTATCCAATGGTCCAGACGAGGCCTTATGCCCATCTAATAATATCGTCTTATTCTGCAATCATGTAATTTTTTAATTTTCTTTTATTGGTTAGATATACCACCAACGAAAAATTTCTAAAATACATGATAATTCCTCATTAGTGTAGGGTACTTTTATTCTGAATTTTTTCAAAATAAATTTCTATTATTAAGATCTATGTCAGAAATCCTCTAAAACTAAAAATCTATTTTTAAAGTTGAATTTATTTAGTTTCCTTTTGGACAAATAATACTGGTGATCCCCATATTTTATCCCTTATGTCTTTTTGTTTCTTACACTTTCAATTGACTCGACTTTGACCCTTAATTTTAAATTTTGCTTCATTTTGGTTTAATTGATAATATCATTAGTGTATTTTAAGAAAAATTATTATTAAATTAATTGAGGTTAACAAACTGAGTTTGATAAGTTTATAACATGCCCTTAAAAATATGGCATGCACATATTTTTCGTTAAAAAAAATGCTAAGTGTAGGAATTAATTGGATCAAATTGAGACAAAATTATAAATTCAATGTCAAAATCGAACTAATTGAAATTGTAGGAACTAAAATGACACACAAATCAAAATACAGGGACTACCGTCGTAATTCGTCCTTTCTTTTTTATTTTTAGAAATGATAAAAGAAAATGAAAAGTAAAAAAAAAAAAATCCTTCACCATTTCATTCTTACTTAAATAATTTTAAAACTAAAATTCAGCATATATAGATATGCTCTGTGATAATCAAGGAGACAATAAAAAGATAAAAGTACTATCTAAAATTAAGAATTTCTCCCACCATTTACTTTATATTTTATTATTATATTGTTACAAATATTTTCCATGAAACCAAACAGGGAAAGGAAACACAAAACCTAGCCCAAAGGATGGGGACAAACAAATTAAAAACAAGAGCCTTGGAAACCCTTGAGTTGAATTTTATTCATAATAATAACCCATCTTGATTTTACAAAGTACCATCTTACAATTATTTGAAAAGAGTAGTAGTGAGCCACAAAGGGCTCAATACCACACCAAACAGTAAGATTAGGATGAAGAAACATCATCTTCAATTGTGAATATAACTGTGGCCCCAGGGATTATCAGCATTATTGGTTTGTTTGAACTCCCTATCCATCTTACCTGTTTCCAACAACAACCATTGCCATCCAAATTCCCATGTTAGGACTTCGCAAAAAAAATTGTCAAAAATTTTATTCTAGACTTTTTATTTTTTATATTTATATAAGCGACACTCGAGTTTTTCAAGTGACGTAAAAGTTTACAATACGCCATATCAGATAATGAATAAAAATATAATAAATAAACATTGGCAAACTCCAGCCGAATCATGCTATTGATTTTTTGAGTTTCTAAAACACCACTCGAGTTAAAGAGTGATAGGAACTCTTCCTGCACCATTTTTCAAAAAATGCTGGGAAGACTTTGTTGGAAAATTTGAATTAAATTTACTCTAATGGTTGTGTCCCTTGACATGAAAGGGTGTGTCCTTTTGAAGGGTCACAACCTTTCTGAAGAGTCATGGAGGAATCTATAAAATCCCACCTCCCTCACTTTAATTTATATAGGGAATTGCAATTTTTTTCTTCACTCTGCATTTATTCTTCATATTTTCTGAGTCTAATTTTCCTATAAAAAGAGTACATGCATAGCAAAGTTCGCTAGGCTTGCAATAGTAGTGCTGCTAGTGCAAGACATTGATCATTGTATCCTGGGAGATAGACGTCCATTGAATCCTAAGCACCGGTGGGAGGAAGAATACTATGAAAAATCGGTGACCCTTGTATTATACTTAAAATAAAACACTACACACTAATCAAGATAATCCAAAGGTCACAAAACTTTCATGATTATTTTCATGAAAATTTTTTCATCATTTCTAACTTTTTCCTACAAAACACAATGAGCTTTGTGAAGTTGCCAAACCAAGAAATAGGCTTGGGGGCAATGGAATTCATGATGAATCATCAACTCATCTAGACTAACACACAACCTTCCCTCCCATTCATGAGCAGTTTTTTTTGTTGGACAGCTTAAAGCCAATTCTCAAACGCAAGCCATCTTCAAAAAAAATTCTCTTTCACTTTTTATTTTTTATTTTATTTTATGCCTATATAAATGTGAGGAATGCAAAGAGTTCTCATAAGCTCTTTTGCTCTCAAACAGTCCCACCTTTTTTTCCAAAGGGCTTCACACTCCATCACCAAGATACGGCTATCTTTTTTTTTTTTGATCGGCAAAGAAAAATTCCATTAAAAATATGAAATTTAAAGGTACAAGGAGATAAAATGCATTGAGAGAGATTCGAAGAGTAAATACTCACTCTCCTACTACTGCTACTCGCGTTCATATAACCAACCTCTTCGCCTCACGATTTTACATTT